CCCTAAGTTTATTTGTGATTTTCATCTACCTGGGTTGGAAACATCTTGGTAACTGGTGACTTTACCTGATATGATAGTAGTACCTATGAAGATAAGTCAGGAAATATTTTACCAAAAAGGACTCCTGTCCTCTTTAAGATATCTATTGCTGGGATGATATGTCCTAATAAAGATGCAGCTGATGAAACCTTTAGTCCAGGAAATTCTAGTGCATTAAGATAACCAACCCCAATTGGCTTAAAAGAGTCTTCAAATGAAGTTTTCTCACCTTCTGTCAATAGCAAAACTCTACTGGTAATCAATGAAACCCTATCAATTCTGCAATGCCTTTACTGAACTCTTTGTAACCCACTCCCAGTGGTATCACAACTCAGTCCCAAAATTTTGGCCCCAGAGAGTAAAAATAGGAAAAAAAGGGTGATTTTAAACCATTTTAAAATCTGGAAAATGTTTTATGTTGTGATAGCAGAAGATGTATTCACAAAGAAGATGCCTTTTTGTCTGAGATACTAATGGACAGCTCACATTGGTAACTTTGACTAACCCACATTGGAATTTCCAGGAACAGGTAAGGAGAAAGAAGCTATACCAGTGCAATTTGAAATGTAAATGAAAATAAGATTGAGAGAAAGAATGATAGAGACTCTGTGAAGTTGAGAGAGAGAGAGAGAGAGAGAGAGAGAGAGAGAGAGAGAGAGAGAGAGATCATAGCAGTGATTTTTTTTTCCCCTGACAGTATTATGGACTTGGATAAATTCATAAGTTTCTTTTAAGGAGTAAAGGGGCTTCATTATTCAAATTCAAATTCATTATTCAAAAAGAGAAGCAAACAACATGTTTTCTTACAAACTCTTTCATTTTCCCAAACCAATATTTGTCAAAAGTTTCATTCTAGAGCCCTTTTTCTATGGTTTATTGTTTAATGCTTTGGATGTAAGTGGTTCAGTTTGGCTCACTTGTTTTACTTCCTATGACTTGGCTTCTTGGTGCTTCAGTGGAGGCTCCTTGGTTTTGTGTGTGTGTGTGTGTGTGTGTGTGTGTGTGTGTGTGTGTGTGTGTGAGGGTGGTGTTGTAAATTTTGAAAAACAACTGCA